TTGTTTCCTGCAATTTGGCCACCTGACATAACAAATCATCAACCTGTGCACACCTTACACAGATACTTACCTTTTCTCTAGGAGAAGGGTCTGCGCACTCGTTGCAAGCTACCACCTGTACTGAAGTCTCCTTCCTTACCAGTTTCATCTGGGTGGAAGTGTCAGACATCTCAGGGGCTTCTGCAGGAACACTGGTTTTAGCTCTGAGGTGAGTGTCCAGCATCCTGGCAGACCTGGGGCACTTCCCTGGGCTGTGGGCCTACAAGCAGGGTGCAGCACCCCGCCGTGCCGTGGCCTGGCTGCCCGCCGCGCTCCTGGTTGCTGCGCTGCCTCGACCTACTGCTCACCCACAGAACGCAGCGTTGCCGCCGCTGTGTCCCTCGCCCATGCAGTGCTGCTTTCCATTTTGCCACATTTAAGTCTCCTGCGGTTGGTTCCTGGCAGACCTCTCTGCTCCTGCTGGGGTTTCCCTGGCTCTGGGAACCCCCGTCCGCCTCAATCTAGCGCTCAGGCGCAGAACTTACCATTGCCTTGTATCGGCCATGACTGCAAAGACACTCATCTTGCATCTCGTCATCAGGGGAAGCAAAGCTCATTACGTAACTTGGCAAATTACAACTTTTGCTGTTCAGAATGGTATCAGCTCGCACTCATATCTAATTAAAAAATAATCATTTCTTTCCCTGAAGCTTTATTGTGCCAGCTGTTGCAAAAACAAACACGCTGGGCCTAGGAAAGCACAGCACTAATTCTGGCCTTTGACAGAATTGGTATGTAAGATCTTTGATGTAATACAGTGCTTTTCAGGGTCCAAGACTTCATTTTCTTGAGGGAAAGGAAAATCGAGACAAAAACCATTTCAAATAGTTTAACTTTAGCATGAAGGCCTAAGCAGAGTAAAATTTTTGTATTCACACCTCTTAATCAGCTTGACATGGATTTAAGGATTTGGGCAAGTTTTCTTACGCAAGATAACAGGAATGTGTTCCCCACAGCTTACCATGTAGTTTTAAATACTGGGTTGTACTGCTGCGATGTGTTATTCTGAAGCTACGTTTAAGTACCATCTAAGATTTTGCCATACTTAAACCATAATGTTTTAATGTTTGTGGGAAATCATTAGTTACTACTTTACCTGGATCGCTGCATGCTGCATTTTTCACTCTCCTCTATGTAACATTAGGTAGCATGGTAGCATGCACTTTAGCGGTACCCAGAGTTCTTAAAATGGGTTCAGAGTTACTGCTAAATATTTCTGAAAACGAAGTAGCAAACATAGTGCAGATGCATGAAAAGCTTTACAAGTAAAGAAAGGTTTCCAGATGTTTATTTCTGGAACTGTACACCAGGTATTAAAGTACAACAAATACAAAATAATGCTCAAAAAAATCAGTGTTTATGTACAAATATTAAAACCAATGCAACAATAGCGACTTCCTCTTGAACATCTGATACTAAAACATGTTCCGATTGTCACTAGATTTGTTGTTACGCACAGGGTACTTACTTTGAACTGAGAATAACTGGAATCTCTGTTTTGTTAGGAGGACTATAACCATTACTACTGTATTTTACAATTGATAGTATCTTCCTTCTTCTTTCAATGAAAAATAGGAATAAAAAAAATAGTAACCTTGTCATTATTTTATAAATTACTGTATTTAGTTTCCCTGTCTGTAGACAATGTGCTTGTAATGCTGGGCAAATAGTGTCCCTGTTGGTCAGTTTATCCATTAGTTTACATTCAAAGTTGAAATACTCACTAGAGACTTTGGTTAAATTAAGTAGTATCACTATGTTCTACTTGATCTGAAGTTTTCCTATATTTTTGACCCTCAGTTTTAAAAATTAAGAACAGGAAACAATTGCACAATTCGTTGACCTAATTGTACACAATTTAGTATTCGTCAAACAGTATTGTACATCCTTCAAGTAAATTCAGCAGTTTGACCATGACAAGAGGAAAACTAAACATTTAAAAACCTAGCATAAGAAGATGATGTATGACTAACCAAAGTAAAAGTATTGCTATAATCACAGCACCAGTTACACTTCTAAATGAATCAGCTACCCTCTTCAGATTCCCTGTACATAAAAAGGATACATTTACCAACACTGCAGTTGCCCATTATGGATTTTTTGGTTTGTTTGTATGAAGAAAAAGTGTGGCAAAGGACAAAGAATTCATCACAGTTTGTTATAAGAATTGTGCTTCACCATCTAGGAACCAAGGCAATGTAATTTCTTCATATGGTTGCAATTCAGTTAACTTCATGCTGACTTTCAAAACGCAATTCTTTTAATAAACAGTAACAAGTTCTCCGTTTAAATGTCTAAACTGAGAGAAAAATAAGTAAGTCCAGCTTTCAAAAGAAAAGTTCAATAAATAGCTATTTTACATGGATAAAGTCATAGTGGTACAAATTTATGAATGTCACATCAAGCATGCACAAAAATGTTACTATACACAGAAGTAGTCAGAAAATATTGAAATAGATATCTAAAAAGATATGAAGAATTTACATATTTACAAAATCTTGCAAATTATTGCCTCATTTTAACAAGGAATTAAAAGTAAACGATACCAGCTAGCTAGCCAACAGGCTAAATAAGATCAGCATTTAAAAATCTATTAGACTAGCCGGAATTCATTTTTCTCTCATATCATTTTCTGAATTTTGGTCAAAAGTTTATTAAGTAACTAAAGTGTCCATTCAACTTGCTGACAACCCAAACCTTAGACAAGTCTCTGTCTACATTAAGAGCCCAGCAATGCATAGATAAACTGAATATATTACTGCATCAGCTAATGAGAATGGGCATGTTCATTTAAGTGCAACTGGTATAAGCATTCAGTCATCTTTGTATAATGATTTTTATACAGACCAGCCACTCACTGTAAACCCATAGATAAACTTGAATGTATAACAATGGAGAATTATGGCCAGTATTTTACAAAATTACATAAAATGTGTTGATTCATAAACAAAAGAAACAAGGTACAAAGTTCAGCACAAAACACAGCAACAAGAAGCCGACAACTTGGCTAAAAATGTCAGAGTACAACACAGGGCCAAGGCTACCCGTTATTTACTGTGTACTTACTAAAGTTATATATTTCAGATGTGTAAGTTAAGAACCGATTACAAAATTATCTCTACTTTTGTCCACTGTGCTAAACTAATTTGTTTTTAATATGGTAAATGTGCTACTGCGTAAACACTTCAAAGCAATCTTCATTATAATGCTGTAAAGAAAACTCCATACGCTGCATCCGAAACTCAGGATGTCAATGCAGTTCACAGTATGCATAATAAATACCCTCTTCCCTTTCAAATATTAAAGTCACTACTTTCTAATTACTCAGCATAACCTTGAAGCAACTATTACAAATATCAACAACGCAAACTTAATCACTTGAATAATGAAAACAAATTAGTGGCAATTAAATTTGTAATACAAACAGTGCAAAGAAAAAGTATGGAGGGAAAGGGGTAATCCTACCGAAGTAAGGTTCAGATTCTCATTAAAAAACCCTGAAAGCTGTATGATACAACAACATGTTCCAAGCCAATACTATGTTTGGTTTGACTCTCCTGCAAGAATTAGAACAAACGTTTGCAAGACAAACTTCCTGGATGGCTAAATTGCACTCAGTGTTCAAAATAAAAAAATCTACTGAAGTTAAATAGTTGCTTTTATGGGAAACATTTTTACTCATCCTTCCCTATTTGACCAAGGTAGCAAAGTGCCATTTTTCAGCCAATGACTTGCCAAAGCAAATAAATGCAATCCACACTAAAGAAAAACTTTCAAATACATACTTCAAGGTTCTACTATTCCTATATAAACTAGATAGTCCCTCAAAACTGTAACACTTTGAACTGCAGTGCTCCAAACAATTTAAGATGTCTTCCAAATGTAGTCTGTTTGTTTAGTGGCAAATCCTAAGCTGTGCAGACTGTAGATTTATACATCAGCTGCCTTAGGAAAGTTAAGGTACACGATTACATTTCTCTTCAAAGTCGTGGACAAAACCCATCCGAATACAATATAGCCTAAAATGCTTTAAGCCAGTAAATTTGAAGTACACAGACACCTATGGCAGCATAATGACTTCTGTGTAAGGTAGCCATGGCCTATAATTTTCCAACAGCATCGAAGTGTTGGTCTTCACACTTTACTCATGTTAAGTCCCTTGTGCTAGCTTCCACCAAGATGAACTTGCTGTTTTGTAAACTGAAGTGCTCTAGTTTAGTATCACATGAGAGAAGGTTCCATTTAAAAAACATCCTTGTATGTTTGTGCAGTTTAAATTAAAGAAACCCATCCCTGCCTTTATAAGGAAAAAAAAAAAAAATGCTACATTGAGCAGGGATTAGGATCGGTACCTGTAAACATTGTTATTCCACTGCATCCGTTACGGCAAAAGTAACTTAGACTAAAAAGCCACTCCAATCCGTTCAGAACTTCTGTGCTGGTTTTGAAATGGTGGCCTCCGTCTACAGGCTTTAAAAAAAAAAATTGAAGCAGAGCTTAAAGCTGCACCACAGAGTTCTCTTAGTCCCAAACTCTGCCGAACATCCTATGACATTTCCACATTTATGGACTGAAAAAAGAAATTACTCTTGATAAATCAAGATATAGTTCTATACATACAAAGACATCACTGATGTCATAAAGTTCAAACTTCCAGTGAAAGACTAAGCAAACCTGATAGCTCCCATCAAGTTTACTACTACTGCATAAAGTACCCACTGTTTGTTTAGTTTTCCACAGTCATTCTGAGTGAAGGGCAGCATGTTGGTGGAGAGTGTGGGTATTAATAAAACCATTTGTCTCATTTGCAGATAGACTGCTGAAGTCAGCCACTGAAACAGCCATTTTGGCACTGGTAATATGGTGTGTGTGGTTCTCAAAGTCCACACCAAGGTTATTAACAGAGACATCATTGATGAAAGATTCTGGGACAGCAATTCCCATTTTCAATCTTTTTGCAGGTCTTTCTGTCTCCTCACTGCACATGTTCATCTGGTTTAACTCTGAATGATAAAAGCCGGTCTCAAATAAATTAAAACAATCACTTTCACCATTGCTAGGCAAGTTAAGCAATTCTTCTGTTCCAACAGGCACATGATTAACTGGTGCTCGGGGTAAGCTGTCCATAGGAGGAAAGGCGTCATCCAGGCAGTTCACATCTGAAGTGTGGCACACTGTAGCTACACTGTTTGTCAATGCTGGAAAAAAGATGAACACAAATGCAAATGAAATAGTTGTTTGCATAGTTACAACAAAAAGATTTTTTTTTTCCTTGATTTACCTGTCAACTCATTGGCAGTGATAGAATTCAGAATGCTTAGCTGTTGATCAGGAATGGTTTCTGTTCGACTATTAGATGTTAAGGCTGAAGAATGCACTGCTCCACCAAGGGCTTCTGCTTCATCTACCAAACGATCCATGTAGTCCCTAAAAGAACATTGCATCCATAAGCTATTATTTAACCAGAAAGCAAGGCCTAAAAATGAAGATGGATTTAATTTCAGTTGCCATAGCCACTGCAGCATTACACTGCAATGACAGATGGGAAAAAAAAAAAACCAAACTTCTACATTTACGATTTGCAACAGAAAACATATTCCAAGAATGTTTTACTTACGTAACTCCTGGATGATGGTTGTATCTCTTCTTTCCAAATCTTGTTTGCTGAGCAAAGTAATCATAACGTTCTGACTTTTTCCACATGTAATAAAAAGCCACACACTCAGCAACTGTTCTGGTTCTTACCTAAAAGAAGGCAAGAATAATTGACAAGATTAATGCAAAGACTTAATGTTTTGCGATCTCCCCAATTCCCATATTCCTGCAATATTGTTAGTTTTATTGTTCTAGTATCTGGAACAAACCAATTAAATTAGGAGACTTCAAAGGGAGCTACAGTTTCAAGTAAGTATTACATTTGTTCTATGGTATGCATTATTGGATTTTTTAAAACTAGACTGAACCTGTACCTACATCTGAAGCATTTTTATATCTAAATATATGTATCAATTTTTTAAACTATAAGATAGACTCATTCTTAAGATGGAACAAGCTGAGCAAATCAATGACCTAAGAGAAGAGAAGCAGAAAAGACTGTGGGTACTTACTCCTTTTGGGAAGGGGCAGAACTGCGGAGGCTTTGACAACAGATAATCACAGCACTAAATGCTTAAACAACAAAATAAAATTCTAGTCTTGCTGAGAAGGTATAAAGGACTCAAAAGACTCATTTTGATCTATGTATTGAGCAGGACTAGCTGACTGTTGTTGAACAGCAACCACAACCCTATGAAGTTTACCTGAAATACAACAAAAGCACCAGACTCCTAGAGAAAAAAAACTCAAGGTGGTATCAAAAGCATAAAGGAGATACAGAGAAAATTTGGAAACATCCATATTGCCAATTGTTGCTTTTTAATAAAAAAAAAAAAAAAAACAAACCAAAAAAAACCCCCAAAACCCAAAAACCCTTATTCTTCAGGCACAGAGGAGTCAATCAGAAGCAATCCAGATCACGATTAGAACTGCTTCACTGGCCAGAAAACAGAGTACTGATGGCTGACTACACTTTCTGAAAACACAAAAAGAGCTAAGCCTGTTCCTGTAAAGTTACACCTTCCTGGTGACAAAAAAAAGTTAAGTAAAGATGCACTCTCCCCGCCACAGCCATGGTATGGAAATACTGTACTTCTAGGAGAGGCACACCTTTAAACTAAATTATTATAATACAAATGCATAAATAGAAGTAATGTCAATGTAAGTCAATTTCAGAGATAACACACTGACTCATCTTGCAATGCCTATTTTTCAATGACACCTGAGGAAAAATTAGCACAAAAATGCCAAGCTGGTTTTAATATGTTGGTTCTTACTTCACTCGTCTGCATGGCTTCTGACAAATGTATTGTCAGATTTTCAGCATCATGTCATCTACCAATTCTTCCATTTAACTGTAAAATACTAACCTTGTTTTTCTGAATGAGATGAAAGTCTTTTCCATAAATCAGAAGTGCGTGTTCAAAGCTTCTGCATTCTTCTTCCGTCCATGCTGTCATCTCTTCTAGACAATTATAAAAGTAGCATGATAAACTTGTTTTCGTTCACTAACCTTCTACAAAGAATAAAGTATGTGTTGCTAATGGATGAATATCCAAATGCACTCTAAAAGAGCCAATAGTTCAGTTATTTAGATCCATGTTCTTTCCTCTATTGCACAGATATCCTACCTGAAATCTAACATTCTTCTTTATACGGACTCATGAAAGAGTTTGATTTCTGAAATCTTTTATCCTTGAGGGCAAAGGACATTCAAAAGATTGATTTATTATTTCTTAGTAAGTTTGTCATCAAAAAAACAAGGTTTGATAACACCAGTGAGGTACCAACCAGTGAGGTAATTTTTCTGAATATTCTTCTCACATAGGATAGAAAGAACAGTGGTTGTTGGAAAAAAGAGTGAAGGAACAGCCTGTTGTGATGGATGCCCCTGCTCTGACTGAGCGAGCAGTACTTTCATTCAGGCACCACTGACAAGTGGGCCTGACTGAAATCAGCCCTGCTGTGCAAACCATGAGAACTGTGCTAGGCTGTATCTTCTCAGAACTAAGGAGTCTAGGCCATGTCTTATCAGGAGCTAACAGTACCAACCCAAGCCGGGACTAGGCAAAGCTAAAACTGCTACAGCTGCACACCCGCACATACACCGAAGGGGAGGCTGACTGCAAGTCAGTCACTTTGCACTACAGGTATCTGTAGCGCCCCCCGAGCCCACTGAGCTCTCCTGTACAGCAGCAGGCTGCACAGAGGTGATCGCCCCTTGAGCAGGGAAGGACACTTCTCAAGGTTACCCTTCAGGGTTGAGACACCCCTTACCCAGCACCTGACGGCTGTAACAAGGTAAGTGAGATTTTACAGTAAGCCTAAAAGTATATTGTATGCTAGCAACACGAATATATATACACACAAGCTATAGCTTAATTATTAGAAGTATAGTAAGTACTAGGGTGTTTGACCACCGCCTAATTATCAATTATCATTATTACATCATTGTTAAACCACTGTTTAATTACTAATCATTTATTGCTTAATTGCAATTTAATTACCAATAATTGATTAATTATCATTTAATTATTAATAAAACCTTTTAGTTAACCCCATAACGATGGCTTTTCTTAATAATTCACCTGCGACAAAAATTGGCATAGTTGGCAGGATGGAGGATTCAATCACTGACTACTTATGAAGGCACGGAGTTAACCCTTCACTGAAAGATGACTGGGTACGTGAAAAGCAGGATAATTTGAATAAGATAAACAAACAGTTGAACCTTGTAAAAGGGAAACTGAAAGATGGTAAAGAGAAAATAATATACAAGATGTTGAAGAGGTATTTAGGAGCTGCGATATCAGTATAAGGAATGTGAAGAACAAGAAATGAGAATGTTATGAGGTTAAACAAAGAAAGCAACAAATGTTGTTACCTCTGCAAATAGACCAATTGCTTAAACAATTGGGCGATGAAAAAGAAAACCACAGGAAAATAGAGGATAAACTAGAACTCATGATAATTCGGGGTCCCAACCCCCCCAGATCCTGTAAAAATTCGTAAGCTAACCATTTCCCCAGAAGACTGGGATGGACATATTTGGGAGGACCCAGTGAAGAACTTTGTGATGAGAGTGAATTAGGTGAATCAGAATTTAAGGTAGCCCCTATTATTAAAACTGAGGTATGTGCCAGACCTCAAGGGGGCAACCAGAGAAAGACCATAAAGACCACTCCATGGGACCCCCTTCAATTGGCCAATCTGCACAAAAAATATGGGCAGAACCCTGGTGAAAGCAAGACTGAATATCTCTGGCATGTCTCCTTAACTGGAGGAGATCATATTATGTTAGATCAGGATGGCTTTTGGGGACCAGGAATGCTCTTGAACAAGGGACCATCCCCTAATATTGAACCACACTCTATTACCTGACGAGCCAGCATATTGGGCAGGAGGCACAGACCCCTGGCATAGGGGAAAGCCCACTGCTATACCAGTAAGATCAGTAAGTGAACTTTTTACTGCCCTTACAAAAGCAGCCTGCCTTCAGGCTACGAACGACAGAGGTGCACATGGTGATTACCCTATCTCTGCCCCTGTAGACACCAAAGCCATGAAACCACTAAGAAGGGGAGCCCAGGCTGTTTTAAAATTGTACCTCATTGCAAAAAAGGATGAAATAAGACAAAACGTAGAACGTAACACTGAGGAGGGTCAGGATGGCCAACCCCACCTCCAATCCATCACGACCTGGGCAGGCTTGATGCATGGCACTGTAAAGCACAGCCGAGAAATGGGGTGGGATGAATTGACACCAGCATGGCGATCCTGAGCTGATGCAGGCAGCAGATGGATCCCCCAAGTAAGACAGACTCCCCAGAACCCCTGACACTTTCCCCAAACTCATAAACCCCCTGGTGAGATAGCGGATCCCTGGAAAAGGCATAATGAACCATGGAGGAAAGCCTTAGCGCTAGGCATACCTCAGGTAGCCATACAAGGCCAACTGACTGGGACCTATACTTAGTCTGATCCAGGCTTTTGAAAAATCAAGGGACATCAGGGAATCCAGAACAAACCAAACCACCATCTGCTCCTAAAGATCCCACAAATAACCCTTTCAGACTTCTTAAGGAGGAACTGGACATTTTTTTTTCCAAGATAAAACCTGTAGTTTCTAAAACTGAATTTTAGTTTCACAAACAACAACCAAAAAAAAATCACTAAAAAAGAGTAAGACTTTTAAAACAAAGTAGCTCTAAATGTTTCAATAGGTCAGTTTTGTTTCAAGTATTGTTGCTTTCCTATCTTGATTTTTGCTTTGGGTCTATATATAATTAAGAAGGAATATTTCAGGCATTTTACATTTGTAATGGTGGGCTAAAAAGTTTCCATTCAGCTGACATTTAAAGCCAGTGGGGGGAAAAAACCCACATTTCAAAACATTTCTGGAAGCAGAGGCTGGACCCAAGACCTTTCTGCTCCCAGATGAAGGTGATAATCATTCCATTGCAAGGCCATTTTCTTTCTTTCTCACCCCACTAATTTTGCACTCCTTACTACAGAGTTCTCAAGATTCAAAGAGAAGAAAAGATCCCTATGTAAACTCTCACTATTAAGAAATTATCTTGGGAGTGGTGGATTTTTAATTATCATCTTGAGAATAGCGGTGAACTTCAGTGGGTCGAGTAGGTAATAGCATAATGGTTACTCTAAGAGACATGCACAGACAGTATTATCATCCCTTCCCACTTTTAATGAGGGTATAGTAAATCCCATCTGACTTGGGGCAGGGTAGGGGGAGTGTACTAGTCCTTAGGACAGAATTTTGGGCTCTGAACCACAAATGGGCAGAGGTATTTTTCAATCCTGAAACAGGAATCTAAATCCGAGAGAGGTCTGGGATTTAGGATACAACGCTGCAACTGATACATCCTTATTGTTTAGGTCTACAGAATCTCTTCTTGCACATCACCTTTCTGAAGCACTGCTCTGATAGTCCTTATTGTCCCCTTCAGCTTAACGTTAGATGCTTAACCTAACCTGTAAACCCTCAGGTTGCCTTTGGATCCAGTTCTGAGTATGGTGTATCTGCCAATTTATACCAGGGCTCATACTCCATTTCTGCTTTATGCCACACATGTTAAAACACAGGACAAAGAACCATCTTTGCTAAATGATAAACTCTGATTTCCATTTAAGGGAGTAATAAAGTTAGTGACAAACAAGATGGAAGTTTCTTTTCCACTGTAAACTCAAGCAGAGCTCTCCACACCCTACCAAAGACCTATAGAACTATACGGTAGAACCAGTTTAGGGTTGGCATAGCACAATGTTAGCACAGTGAGGAAGAGC